ATGATTTTGCTATTGCATGACGAAAAGTCATGATTTTATTAAAGACACGGAGGCGAGTATTGTCCCACCCTTCTCATCCTTACACGGTTATAATAATTTTTCCCTCCCAGGTTAATACACGCTACAATACACCACATCGAATGGATTAGTACTCTAAATGGGGCCATACTGCGAGAAGGATGTTTATGTAACGTAATGGTAGATCACTCTTTTGTGGGACTGTGCATAGGTGGGTTATTCCTCACCCGTTTAACCTTGAAACTAGTTGCAAGTATCGACTTTAACCTGTCGGCTCCTGTTCCTTTATGTTTTCACAGCTTAACTCGACAAGACGACAAGCAGTCATCCGGCTTAGGAGGACTCCCCCCGCTGTTATCCAGTGGTCCTATGAATCCTATGGTCAAGCTTCCCAGTTGTTGATGTTCTACCCTCTTCAGTTATAAGTTATTACCTTGGGACATTTTCTCTCAATTCCTGGTTTGGACATTTTACCTTGGTCGTATCTTCAGAAAGAGGGAAATGGAAGGGAAGTGTTGCCTATTATACTGGGACCTGAGCGGGGAGGGGCCTATGTTACTGCATATTCATTATTTTTTCATTCTGTTTGTATTCTTTGCTGCTATTGGTGGACAGTAAAGAAAGGGATATGCAATACTCGCCTCCGTGTCTTTAATAAAATCATGACTTTTTGACCATTTAATAGCAAAATCATATAAGTCTCAGTGTACTCTAAATCAATTCTGCATGTTATTACAGACAAGGAGCTTCTATTAGGTTCAAACTTTGAACAAAACATGAAATGGAGAAAATCGAGTGTTCATCAGGAGACAAATTATATAGCTGCTTGCCACATAATGTTCATCCTCTTCTACTACTCACTCAGTTAGAACCTTTGTGAAAAACTAATGCCTACTGCCTTAGAATTTCACGGACATTCTAACACAATCCAAAGATCCCATAAGACAATGTATGGAATACTTTGTATTACAGACAAGTCTGAGTTTGACAAAAAGAGGCGCCGTCAACTTTTGTCCAATCCCAGCAGCCATCACAAGTGAAAATTTGGGCACGAATGAAGTGGGGGACCAGAGGGCTCTATAGTGTTAGTAATACAAGGCTGTATTCCTCTATTCCTAACACTACAGAATCCCTTTAAGAGTTATTATTGAAGTCTTGTAGTAGGATATTAATGAGTACCGGTCTTTTCTGGAAATCAGAGAAGACAAGCATTGGATAGAGCAGGGGTGCCCAAAAGGTTGATCCCTCGATGTTGTACAACTGCAACTCCCATGATGCTTTGCATGCCTTTAGAATCACAAAGCATCATGTAAGCTGTAGTTTTAAAACATCTGGGGATCTACATTTTGGGCACCCCTGGTATTGTGGATACATACATAGGAAAACTTCAGTTTGTTTGGCCTCATTTCCTCCTTATGAACTCAGAATATTATCTAAGGTAGCAAAATAAAACACAAGATTTTAAAAGTAACTCTCCACTGTTTTGGTTTTTCCACCTTTTAGTAGATATCCCCAAAGAAAACATGCATGTCTTTTTTCTGCGTGTTTTTCTTGGGAGTATATGAAAAGTATATGAAAAAGAGCTTGAAAAAGCTCCAGACCTGTCTCCATCCTTTACAAGTTCTCCCTTCTGCAGCTCATTGGGAAGAGGGAATGCAGGCACCAGACATGTGCAATTCGTTTCGGTCCGAATGTGAATTCGGACGAATTTCGGACAATAGATTAATTGCTGAAGTCCCGAAGTTCCGAAATTACCGAAGTGCCGAAGAACTAATATACTTACCCAGTGGAAGAATTAAGAATGTTACACTGTATACAATTTTAAATAAAAAGTATACAAACATAGCCAGGATTCAGCTGTAAGCATTTGCAACACTTACAACAATCAAGTAACATGCATTCATATAAAATGTAAGTTACTTAGCCAGTCAGTGTAATGACAGGAATGAATAAGTAGATAACTCCCTAATTCCCACGGTATTAGGGAGCTATCTACTAAAAGGCTGAAAGACCTAAATTGGTCTTTCAGACAAATTTACTAATACTAAGTAAACATTACTTAGTATTAGTAAAAAAAAGGTCCCCCCTCCCGAGCCCCCACCCGTGAGTGGGGCTTTTAACTAAAGGGAGGGACCTATTGGCCCCCCCCCCGGCCCCCACCTCTGAGTGGCGGGTGGGGGCCCTAAGGTAAAATAATGGGGGGGGGACCTATTGTCCTCCCCCCGGCCCCCACCCCTGAGCGGCGGGTGGGGGCCCTAAATCAGAATAAGAGGGGGGACCTAATATCCTCCCCCTAGCCCCCACCCCTGAGTGGCGTTGGTTTGGGGCCCTAAATTATAATAAGGGGGGGACCTAAATAAAAAATAACCCCCCCCCTCTCCCCCAGGTGTCCCTAAACCCCTAGTCACCCCTCTGCCCCAAAAAACTAACCCCTACCTACCCCCCTCACCCTAATAATAATGAGGGGGGGACCCTTAACTAAGTACCTTTAAATATTTTTTAAATAAAATTAAAAAAAAACAAAAAAAAAAAAAACTTACCATTTGATGTTTTCTTTATTCTAAAATCTTTTTTCAGCCCCAAAAAAGGCCAAATAAAAAGCCAAAATAACCAACGCATTTAAAAAAAATAAATAAATCCATCTTCACCCATGGAGGGCTCCGCGCAGACTGAGCTCTGCAGGGCGGGGCAAGGCTTATAAAGCCTTGCCCCGCCCTGCAATTAGGCTCAGAGCACTCTGATTGGTGGGTTTAAGCCAACCAGAGTGCTCTGACATGTAAATGAAGAGACTGACAGGTAAGTCTCTATATTTACCTGTCATAGCACTCTGATTGGTTGGCTTGAAATCCACCAATCCGAGTGCTCTTTGTCATTTTACACAGCGTGGGAAAGTTCTTTGGAATTTTCCCACGCTGTGTAATTTGACTCAGAACACTGATTGGTTACTTAATCCACCAGTGTTATGAGTCAAATTACACAGCGGTATAGCGAGTAGGGGCAAAATTTACTAATACTAAGTAATTTTTACTTAGTATTAGTAAATTTGGCTGTAAGACCAATTTAAGGTCTTTCAGCCTTTTGGGAGATAACTCCCTAATACCGTGGGAATTAGGGAGTTATCTACTAAGCGGCAAGAAGTCCCGAAGTGCCGAATACCGAACCGAAAATTTTCCCCATGCACATGCCTATCAAGCACACTTATAGCCCAGTGCACCAGCCACTTCCATTACCTCACATGAAAATAAAACAAGTCATTCCCAACTGCCGGATTTATTTATGCCCCAGTTATAAAAATGCAGATTTTTTTTAGTGAAAACACAATTTTTTATAAACTGCTGACAAAAAACCTGTCGGGCTCCTGACACAAAATGCACTTCAGCAAGCTCAATTTAGCAATCTAAAAGTTTTGAGAGTCTTTAATAATAATAATAATAATAATAATAATAATAATAATAATAATACAAAATTACACACAGCTAAATATTACCTCAACCAATATTTTCAATGCTTTAAACACCCATAAGGGCAGGTGTTCGGAAGAAGAATTGTCCTAAGACAAATGTCAGGTTTAAAAAAAAACAAAAAACTTAATGGAGTGGTTCCCAAAACAGTTCTCCCTCCTGCCCCCGACCCAACAGTCCAGAATTTAGGGATTACATATTTGTGGCTAAAATGTGTTTTGTTTGTTTTTCTTTCTAAAACATCTTAGACTGTGTAATCCCTAACACCTGGAACCACTGCTTTAGTGTATTCAAAGAAAAAGGATGATCGTTCTTTAGGCAGGCCTTTATAGACCCTGACTGCACAGGATTGGCAGATGATGAAAATTCTGATAAGTTATTTGCTTTTTTTTCTTCTATTGGAGTAAAGAAAGCCTGAATATAATACGATACTCCTGTCTGGGATAAAACCTTTACTTATAACTAATTTAGAGAAATATTTTCTCTCTCCATCGCTTGACCATCCTTGCAATAAATACCAATTTTTATTACTAAACATGTTCCTTAGACCTCAGTCAAGAAACCTAGTTAACAGAACATACACACAAAACCAAAACTCAATTTCCACTAAGCACTATAGTAGACTCCCACAAGAGGGGGAAAAAACTGCCATAGTGTCAATACAACACAGTTCTGTAGATTGCATTCTTTCATGTATTAAGAAGAAACAGTTAGTCTACACAACTATAATTTGTGTGTTTTTAAAACCTAAAACTAATTTATAGTTCTGTTTAAACTAGTTTATGTTTAAAGAGACAATAGATCATGCACATGCAGTCTTACTGCCTAATTCTCTGCCATTTAGGTGTTAAATCACTCCCTGCATGTGACTTACACAGCATTCCTAAATACTTCCTTTAAAGTAAAATCTATTGCAGTCTTTTTAATTTAGAATTTCTTATGTACTGCACCGTTAATAACTTGCTAGACCTTGCATGAGCTTCCTGTGTGTGATTAAAACTTAATTTACAGTCTCAAACTAATTGGTTGGTAAGTGAGGAGTTAAAGGATTCCCTGCCCTGCTGCGTTCTTCCATGTTTGGGGAAATATCCCCGAACATAGAAAAATGCAGCAGAGCAGGCAACCCCTCTAATTTATGCATGGGGAAATTTCCCCGAACATAGATTAGAGGGATTCCCTGTATTGTTGCATTCATCTATGTTCAATATCCCCGAACATAGAAGAAACATAGAAACAGAATGTGACGGCAGATAAGAACCATTCGGCCCATCTAGTCTGCCCAAACACAGTAGAGCAGGGAATCCCTCTAATTCCCACGACGACTCGCACTTACCACCCCACGAGAGAGCTGGTTGTAAGTGCGAGCAGTCGTAAAACAGTTAGATCGCAAAACGAGGGGGGAAGAGAAAGAGATATATATATATATATATATATAAATGAATAAATATATTATATATTAATTAATATTAATGATAGCACTCCAAGGACTTCGAAAATATTGTGAAAAAAAACTTAGCTTTTTATTCAGACATCTACCACAGAAGATCAACGTTTCAGTTCTCTAAGGAACTTTTGTCAGGATGAAAGTTCTTTAGAGAACTGAAACGATCTTCTGTGGCAGATGCCTGAATAAAAAGCTAAGTTTTTTCACAATATTTTCAAAGTCCTTGGAGTGCTATCATTATTTTATTTATATTATTTGGCTGTTAAGCACCGGGCTTTTTACTATTCAGGAGTGCAAGCAATTGTAAATATATATGTATTTTTATATTAATATACCGTATATACTCGAGTATAATTCGACCAGAATATAAACCGAGGCCCCTAATTTTACCACAAAAAAAATGGGAAACTTATTGACTGGAGTATAAGCCAAGGGTGGGAAATGCAGCAGCTACTGATAAATTTCTAAATAAAATTAGATCCCAATAAAATTACATTAATGTGTGTGTGTGTGTGTGTATATATATATAATGCAGAGAGTGTGTGTGTATATATATATAATGCAGAGTGTGTGTGTATATATATATAATGCAGAGTGTGTGTGTGTATATATATAT